GGGAAACAATTAATAATTGTTAGGAAAAGCTTTTGTACAACTTATGAAATTTGAATATATTAACTGTTTTAAAATGCAGAACTCGTTTTGGGTTATGATGCAGATAATTAAATCTTATTATTTTATTATTTTGTAGATTTTTGTACTTTAGCCTTTGCTCTTCTTTCTCTTCTTAATCTACTTTGCATCATATAATATGTTGCCCGCCTAATTATCGTTTCCAGAGTTGAGCAACTATATTCATAGTGAGGATATCTTTCCCTAACTCTTGCATGCAATTTCAATATTAACTCTTCTCGATACTCCTTTGTAGTATCACGAACCCAAGTTTTATAACCAAGAGGATAATGTAATTCGTTTTCAAAAATGTCCAAAATATGTCTTTCTCTTTTTAATGCCTCTTCAGGTGAATCCAGTTGCAAAACGTCGGCTAAACCATGAGCTGATAAACGAGAGTCAGACACTTTTTTGCTTAAACCATTAATAGAGTCCCCATCATCATCCTCGGCACCAGCATTACTTCTTCTTTTAGATTTTCTTGGATGGTGACTAGTCGTGCCAGCGTTGTTGTAACGAGCTTGTCTTGGCTGTTTAACATAGTTAAATTGCCCATTATTATTTGAATAATTTTCATTAGCAGTAGTGCCATCGCTGTTATAAGTAGAAGTCGTTACTGTTTCAGGATATATGGTATTTTTCTCAGCCAGCGATGATAAAGTTATGTTGCTGGTAGTATTATTCCTATAATCGAATATGTCATTATCGATATTTAGGCTAGCAGTGCTATAACTACTGCTTGTAATGCTATGATTATCAGAATGAATCGAATTCATTGAAGTTGTTGTTGTTAGTGCGTCATTTGTGACATTTGGTAATAAAGAAAAATCTTTAAACATTGAGACATTAAGATTTGTTGGAGATGAATTAAGTGAATATGGAGTTGGTACTCTATTATTTTCAATCTTGTAGGAAACTGCCAGAGGATAATCTAAAGAAAATGCAGTTCCAGTGTTTCTTGTGACATCATTTACGGAGTCAACAATTAATTTAGAATCGAAAAGATTATAAGTATTATTATTATTATTATTATTAATATTATTATTATCCGTCTGCTCTTCATTTTCAGTGATTGATTTTGCAGAATATTCCAAATCACTTAAACTATAAAACTTTTCATCTTCATTATCTACATTGGTATCAGGATTTGAAAATGAATCCATTAACATTAAAGTATTCTCGGAACTCTTATTTGAATTATAATGTTGTAAACCCCTATTATTATCAAATTGATGATTGATGTAGTTAGAGTTTGAATTATTGATATTTGATCTTTCATTCGAATTACCTGATCTTTCATTTACGTTATTCGAAGTTGCGCGATGACTTGGCTTTGAAGAAGAGAAATCCTCTTGATATACAAGTGAAAAATCTTCCAGATACATGATGAATGAATGAATAAATTAAAATGCCGTTCCTAGATGTTAACAGAATAATTTATTTTATTTGTAAAATGTTGTTGTGGTTATATTTTTTTTATTATAGTAATTATCATATAGGTTAAACGATAATTTAAATATACTGACGTTTTTTTGTTTCTTTTTTAAATTAATAGTGGGATATACAGATTTTTAAACCGTTTCGAAACTTGAGATTAGTACGATAAAAATAAAAAAAGACTTAGAAAATATCGTGGGACTGGTGGATGGGGGGTAAAAAAGTGATATGGATGAGTAGTGCCAAACAATTCAAAACGATTATAATATAATAAAATATTAAAAAGGTTTAAAATTAAATGAAAGTAAAAGAAATATAAAGTTGGAAAAATAGGTGATGATTATGTGAGGATAAAAATAAAAAAAAATGAATGAATTAATAAAAAAAAAATAATTAATTGATTAATTTACTATATGACTAGGTTTTGAACAGATGCTTATTATAGTATAGTTTATTATAATAACATATGAATACCTTTAGAAATAAAGTACTAAAGCAAATAGAAGATTAAAGGGTTGAACAAAGGTACTTAAGGAGAAAAAGAATAAATTACTAAAGATTCTCGTTCCTTAAGTATTAAAAAGACATTAAAATATGCGATATAATTGCAATTATATAATTGTAGACATCATATTTATATATATATATATATGAATATATGCATATATATATATCATACAATATAATTAAATATAATAAAACAATATATTTAGAGAACTGTATATGAATGAAATGACGAGAGTAAGTGGATGAAGATATGTTTAACGGTAAATTATAAAAGTCAATCATACATTCAGTTATTTAATATATTCCCTTCAGAAAAGGTAACGTAGATACATTTTTAAACATTAATTTGTTTTACCTAAAATAACTATAAAGATAATAACAAGAGTACAGAGAAGAACCATCGAAGCACATTAACCAAGATTATGAAGACACAGTCATGGCAGCATATAATGATTAAAAAAAAAACCACTATTCGTACAAACTATATGTGTATGTGATCTTATAATAAATAATACAATATGGTAATCTAATATAAAATGAATATTTGTCACACGAGATTGTCGAGCAACTGCAATGTGTAGTAGGGTATATATTAAATTAGCTAAACACTTGCGCTAGGTCTGAATGATTCCAAGAAGGTGTGCACGGTTTTCTTTTGTTTAAAAGTTATAAAATAAGGTAAAGTGAAGCAAAATGAAATAAAAAAATATTTAATTAGATTTATCTTTCGAACGTTTGACTGATTAGATATTGCGCTGATATAGAAAATGACGGCAGAGGAGACTCAAGAGCAATCAACTATGATGAATGGGTTTCGAAGAGAGAGAGAGAAAAAATATAAACATTAAATCGAAGTTCCTACCGTAAAGTATGTCTCAACGTGGAAAACCAAAAAAGAAAAAGAAAAAGAAAAAGAAAAAAGAAATAAAATGAGAATAAAAAAAAAAGTATGGTAAAAGTGGTAGAGAGATAATGATTGTTATTAGAAAGACATGTAGGAATACTAAAACATTAATATGTTACATACAATAATAAATTAGAAAATAATTAAATTAAAAAAAAAAAACGAAAGAAAGAAAGAAAAACAGGCAGAGGAAAACGACAGCGGATGATATGAATAATAAACGCTAACCGAACCGAAATAGATGAAAATTATCGATCCAAGAGATCAAGAGAAAACACCATATATGGGTTAGGAAGAGATAAATGAAAAATTGGTTATATAGTTCTTTTCCTAATTGTTATTAAACAGATGGAGAGAGAGCGTGTGCAGGTGCAGGTGTAGGCGTAGGCGTAGGTGTAAGTGTAAGTATATATATATATTTCGTTGTAATAATAGCACAGAGAACAATATAATATTATACTGCTATTACTGGCACCACTCCTACTGATGTTGATAATAATAATTCTAATAATACCTGGCGTACAAGAATTACTCAAGTTTGAATCTGAGAGAAATGGATAAATAGATAACCATGGATACCGTATTTCACACTGAGAAACAGCTGTATATGCGGCAAGAGACATCTGATTCGGGACGGTAAAGGATATATATTCTTAGTCGGAAAAGTTTCTACCATACATACATCTTGAATTAATCTTTGTTTGTAATTTGTGTTATTATATTCTATTGATTAATTGATAAATTGATAAATTGATAAATAACTAGATAGACATTGATAAGCGTATTACCTTTATCAATTTGTTATTTACTTAGCTTTTTATCAAGAAAAAAAATAGTAAGAATCCATGTTTCAACTAAAATGGAGTCCTTCTCACAAACTATTATTGCAAGTGAGAATTAGACTTCTGCAATGATTATATGTCTTGAATAGGGTACATTCGAAAAGAAATTTGACGTATAAACAAAAGATACGATTTGTGTAAATAATTCAATTTCTGTTTATCGTGCTTGCAATTACAATAGCTATAATTAATTTAATTTAATTTAATTTAATTTAATTTAATGCGAGTGTTAGTAGTAATGGTAATTGCAGTGGTACTATTAATCTTACCACTGTTATTTGCTTCCATACCGTTCGTTCTAAAACCATACATACTTCCCTAGATCAATTTCCAGTCTATAAGATAATATAATAGAATAGATAAATTAGATAAAAATCCAAATGACAAAAGCAGAAACAATATTTTTTCTGTGACGGTTAAGCGCAGAAACAAAGATTGTAAACCAAAAATAGTAATCCAACGCAATCAATAGTTATTTTCCCTTTATCTGTACGTATTGTTCTTCAATGAATCTACAATTACTATTGTATGCACTTTCTTCTGGCGTGCGTAAACTATACATCTCTGTCTATCTATCTATCTATCTATCTTTCTATCTATATATTCTAAATCCATCCATACATCAGGATAAACCAAGATGTGTTTGTTTGTTTGTTTGTTTGATTTGTTCTGCACCGGATTAAACCACAGAAAAAAGCAACATGATGGCTTACAGAGCATCCCTCTGTACCGGACCACAACACAAATTTACAAAAAACACGACTAGAGAGAACCTAGGCGCAAATACGGAGACTGACCAAAAAGTGACTGCCAGACTGTGTTTCATTCCTTCTTTCCAGTGAGACCTACTGAGAAGAGTGAGAAGATGACTATGAAACAGACGTAGAAATATTAGTGTTTTTTGTGTAATCGTTTTTTTGTTTTTTCTTTTTTGTTTTTTGTAATTCGGTGTCCAGGTGTGGTTGGGAGGGTCAATTAAATTGCTATTTATTAGTTCTTCTACTTCATTTTGACTTCAAATATGCAGATAGATAAGATATACTAACAAATTGTATCAAGTAAGAGCTGAGAGACAAGACGCAGCTCTGTGTGTGTCCCTCCGTTTGGTAACTCATAAATGTATGAAGGGAGGGGCACAAGGGAAGAACGAGGAGACAAGGGAGATATAAACGCCCTGAAACACCGCACAAGGTATTGTATTGGATGTTTTAGAATGGATATATTTTCGAGATGGAAGCAGAGAGAGGACAAGACAAGATAAAAGCACAAAAAATACTTATATCCCCAGGTGACTCGTTTTCCCTCTTTCGATATTACCTTTATGGTAATCAGATTATTGAAAAGGATATCTCTATGTGTAGTATTTTTTTTTATTTTTAATTTCAACGTCTTTTTACTATTATGGACAAGATAGCTACCTGTTCTTTTACAGGAATCGAGAAATGACGAAAAATAACAGAAGTTCGAGCATTTTTATTTATTTACTATTATTATCTTTATCATATTTGTTTCCTTCTCATTTTGCTGTGAAAATGTAAGAGAAACTTCACTCCTTTCTCTTGCACATCGAGTTTTCTCAAAGTCAGAAATCTCATCTCCAGTGTGATGATTGATGATTATTTACTGATTGATTAATTAATTGATTTGATTGTCTCTATCCTGTCGAACTTATAAACAGAAATCACAATTTGTTTTATTTGTTTTACTTTTTCATATAATACTTTGAGGATTCTCTCCGGAGGTAACTTCAAGAGAAAATATCAATCTTATTTTGCTCATTATGTCCGTCCTACTTGACTTGGTCTTTGATATGAATTTATTTATATGTGCTATCTTTATCAATAAAAGATACATACACACTCATCCCAGAAGCGCAAAATTTAACCCTAGTACTTAATAGTTTGACAAAAAGTAAGATATTGTTTATGATAATTTACTTGTATCTTTTTATTTTTTTTTCTTTTAATATCTGATATATTTCAGTTTTATTTTTTGTCCTCTTTCTGAATTGTATATTCAACTAATTTACTACTGTGGTTACTTTTTATATTCATACAGAATGGTGTGATATTAACTTTTTCAAAATGGGGACAAATATAATTGCATTGTTTTAACAAATTATGAGGATAACAAACACTGTATAGTTAAAGATATATGTTGTGATGTGAATATCTAAAAAGGTCGTTGGATAACATAAAAACTAAATTGTATCAGTCAGTCAGTCAGTCATTCATTCAGTCAGTCATAAGTATTCGGGTGACAGCTATCCTTAGTTTGCCGATTGCACTTTATGACATCCAAACATGTCGTTAATCTACGCACGTAAGTAATAATATACTCCCGCATTGGTTTTGTAAACATTCGTGACGCCCAGACTAAGAACAAGAAGGAACAGTAGAGATATAAAAATAAATTTGAATATAAATATAAATATAAATATAGTTATAAATAACGATTCATCAAACGTGCTATAATTTTCTACTTCACCACTCGGTGTAGGTGAGAATATATATATATATATATATATCCAGATAATCGGTACTCTTGTCATATTCGCTTGCTATTAGTACTTCTTAATAAATGTAGATTGAAGGATGAAAGTGAAAATGCTGTTATGTAGTCACCCTAAAGATCTAGTTGGTAGAAAAAAACTATACATATATTTGAATTAACCAGCATTCTGACATTCCTTCGTACGGTGGAACAAATTGGAGATCTTGAACGCAACCTCACTTTGAATCATTGAAACTATGACGGGATGGAGTATTTTTGTAGGTTACCCTACCGCAATATCATCAAAAACCTTCAGTTTTATATTTCAACTTGTATGTTTCAGATAAAATTCTTTATGATAACAATAGAATGTAAAACAATCGAAGTCACATTATACGTGAAATGCGAAAACTGTTACTTCTTCCAATTGCAATCTGAATGAATTTCCATGTCTCTTCTTTCTCCAATCCGTTTCTTTTCTCCCTGCTCCCCCCGCAATAAAAAAAAACATCAAGTTTTAATACGTAAGAATTAAAATATATCTCTTTTATATCATGACAGCCAATCACATCTCAGTATTTTTATTTAGTTAACAAACTGTAGCACAGAGCAAATCCCCGTGATAGTGTTGTTCGCCATTTCTTTTCTTAGTTGTTATTATATCATCATACTCATATTCTACAAGAGCACTGGATTTTTGGGTATACACGAATAATATAATATTATTTCTACTCCCATCCATCATCTGTCAAAAATAAAACAAGAAATAAAATAAAATAAAAAAATGAAAAAGTGCTGTTTTCTTCCCCCTTTTCTCTATCCTGTTTTCTGACCCCCCCATCCCCCCACTGCCTAATTCCAATTCCCTTTTCCTCTTCAACCCCCTGGTCCAGCCAATCAGAAACAAGCATCTATTGGCTTTCCCCCCCCCCCACAAATCGCACACTTTCTCTCCCTCTCCCTCTCTCTGTCTCTGTCTCTCTCTCACTATTTCTTTTTGCTCGCAGTTTATCCGAACACAGATATATCTTTATATTTGATTACCATAAATAACCAACGAAACACCAAGCCATAGTCTGCTCTGCGTATCGTTCTCTGTCTTTGATCCAGTGCCAACAACCATTACTGAGAGCACAACACAACGCCGATACACTATGCAATCGTATCTGCACTGAACTTGAGGTTGAGTGGTTTTTCCCGTGTCTCTCTGCCGGCCAGTTTTAGAACCTAAGTGCCCTATCAAAAACATATATGTGCGTATATAGATATATAGATATATAGATATATATACATATTATGGTAAGTGCCCAGCAGACAAGTACAACACCTACGCTTGCTCTGTACCTTTTCTCTAACAAATAGCACTCCATCAATGCTGGCTATTGGAATCAGAACCATATTCAATAGAAGGGATAAAACTATTCTGAAAACATCGACCAAAGAGCTTTTAAGCTCGAGTTAGATAGCCCATTAACAATTTTAATTCTTACTCTAACCACCGTCTAACTGCGTTGTATCGGCCAGTTCTTATCCCATTTCCACATTACTGTTCACGTCTACCTAGCTGAACTCTCCCTTTCCAGTCCAATGTCCGCGTGCTGCGTTACTTTCTTCTTCTTCTTCTTCTTCTTCTTCTTCTTTCTTTCTTGCTCTTTTGGTCCTTCTCAGATTGCATAAAAGAGTGCACCAGAGTAAACCATAAATCAGATACTGCGAACCTCGCAAGCTAGTTAACTAGTAGTAAACTGGTGTAAGCTACCTCATCAAATCAATAAACCATATTTTTATACTGTACATCACTCTTTGTATTCGTCGATTACACACTCTCACAAAACTATCCTTGACCTCTCGACGTAGCTGGTGCCCTCTGTACCCGTCTCTGTCGCTGTCTCTGTAACCTCAGTTGAATTACCAAACCTACCATCCTCACAGGAAAATTAAAGGTTAACGAAAACTTAAAAATCTCAAGTATTTCAGAAGGAGAAACCACGTTAAGCAAAATAGTTTTCTTTTTAACAAGACAAGACTAGACAATACAATACAGGACAACTAAAGTAATAAGTACAGTTAAGTGGAAAATATAGATGAAAAATTTTTCATCTGTTAAAGCTTTATTTTTTTTTTTTTTATTATTTGACAGAAGATCGTTAGATATATAAATCAAATCACAGATCGAGTATAAAACGTTGAAACTAAATCAGTTTATAACTTTTCATATCTTTTATGTTACGTATAGATTGGTTCCCTGTTTGACACTTTTTTTCCAGATATTGCTTGTCCTTTCTATTTAAGTTGTAAAACTTTTCTTTCTGTTGCTTTCACTTTCACACTTTTCTTATAATTTGTATTCTTTCCCTTCTAACTTATAACACCAAGTGCATTTTTTATTGTTGTCTTCTATACTATCTAGTATTTATTTTTTTAATAACAACAAAGGTACATCCATAAAAAATAATAACACTAATATATAAAAAATGTCTGACCAATCTAATTTTATGATTAACTTCTTAATGGGTGGTGTCTCTGCTGCTGTTGCAAAGACCGCTGCTGCCCCAATTGAAAGAGTTAAATTGTTGATCCAAAATCAAGATGAAATGATCAAACAAGGTACTCTAGATAAGAAATACAACGGTATCGTTGACTGTTTCAAAAGAACCGCCGCTCAAGAAGGTATCATCTCTTTCTGGAGAGGTAACACTGCTAACGTTATCCGTTATTTCCCAACTCAAGCTTTGAACTTTGCCTTCAAGGATAAAATTAAGGCCATGTTCGGTTTCAAGAAGGAAGAAGGTTACGCTAAATGGTTTGCTGGTAACTTAGCTTCTGGTGGTGCTGCCGGTGGTTTGTCATTATTATTCGTCTACTCTTTAGATTATGCCAGAACTAGATTGGCTGCTGACTCTAAATCTTCTAAGAAGGGTGGTGAACGTCAATTCAACGGTTTAGTCGATGTCTACAAGAAGACCCTTGCTTCTGATGGTTTCGCTGGTTTATACAGAGGTTTCTTGCCTTCCGTTGTTGGTATCGTTGTCTACAGAGGTTTGTACTTTGGTATGTATGATTCTTTGAAACCATTCGTTTTAACCGGTTCTTTGGAAGATTCTTTCTTAGCTTCTTTCTTATTAGGTTGGGTTGTTACCACTGGTGCTTCTACCGCCTCTTACCCATTGGATACCGTTAGAAGAAGAATGATGATGACTTCTGGTCAAGCCGTTAAGTACAATGGTGCCATGGATGCTTTCAGAAAGATCGTCGCCGCTGAAGGTGTCGCTTCTTTGTTCAAGGGTTGTGGTGCTAACATCTTAAGAGGTGTCGCCGGTGCCGGTGTTATCTCTTTGTATGATCAATTGCAAATGATCTTCTTCGGTAAGAAATTCAAATAATCTTAAAAGCATACAAGTTATGAAATAATAATATTCGTTTATCCTTATTTTTTTTTTACCAAAAATATTTCCACTCCTCCATTATTAAACAAATTTACAATAATTTAATGTTATTAAATTAAAGTTTAACTATTTTATTTTACTATATTATATTTGTCATTGTTTTTTAACCTACCTTTATTCCACAAAATATCTGCTTTTAATATTTTTTTGAACCTTTCTGTCGAATAATTATAAAACTCGATGATTTAAAAATAAAAGAAAGAGTTTTAAAAAATCGTTGTTAATACAATTTTTATACATTTTGTATATATATAGAATTTATCAACTATATATAATTGTGTATATAGATCTTATTATATTCTTAAAAAAATGTTTATAATTCATTATTTACTATTTGGTTTTCTTTTTTAAATTGCATCTCTTTTTTTTGCCGTTTTGAAATGAAATCAATTGAACAAACGATATATGTAAGTGACTTTGCATGAAATGGCTTAATATATCATCATATAATTGGATTATTTAATCGCATTAAAATCAATCTAAATTACAAACATTATAACGAAATATACTATTATTACTTAAAAATGTATGAAATATGTAAAACAAAAGAGAAGAGGAGGAGATAAAAGTAGATAGATAAATGAGGAAATAGATAAAAGGAAAAGAGATAATAATAGTAGGGTGGGTAGTAGGAGAAGTATTAATAATAATATTTTTCAATTAAAATATACTTTTTAATAATTTTTATTACATTTTTTTGGGAATTTTTTTAATCTTTTTTTTGCTTGTTAGTTTTTATTCTTAAAATTAAATTAATACATTCATTAAAACCAGAAGGTTGAGGAACCTTAAATAGAAAAGTTGTCCTGGGAACTTCGTCCATCCTAAGCAGATTCAGTTTCTTCCATTTCTTTTCTTCTTTGGATTTCAGTTTCCAAGTTCTTTTTTAACATTGATTCAGCTAATTCAACGTTTTTAATATCATTACTAATGATTTCGAAAATTCTTTCGGCATCGTCAGAGACTTCACTTGCTCTCTTTTCGATGACAATCTTAGTCTTTGAGTATTTTCTCAAGTTGGCAATTCTATTACCTTGACGACCGACGATAGCACCAACGTAAGCTTCTGGAATCTTGACGATAGATTTAAATTCTTCATCAAAAGACTTAGAAGAGCCAGTGTTGGAAGAAGTGTTTGTAGAGACAGGTTGGTTTCTTCTTCTGACATGAGGAACGTATCTTTTTTCTCTGGTGGCTCTAACTTCATTAGAGATGACAGCGTTGATATCTTCTAAGACTTTAGTAATAGCCATTGATGTACCTTGAATTTCCAATAATCTTTCATCACTGTCTGGTAAGGTTTGGTTTGAAGCAATCATTCTAACGCCGCGGTTTTCGATTAAAGATTTAATTCTGTCACCTTTAGTACCGATGATAGCGGAACATTGAGCTCTTGTAACTAATACTCTAATATTAATGATTTTCTTCAAAGTTTCAGCATCGTTAACTTCATCCAAAGTTGGCTTTGCTAATCTGAAGTTTAAGAAAGGATAAACGAATTTTTCATCTTCAATTGAATTGTATTCGTCATTTTCCTTTTCGTTGGAGTCTTCATCATTTGTAACAACATCTTCAGATAGTAAAATTTCACAAATATCACCTATAGCATTGGAAACGTCTTCGATGGAACCAGTACAAATTAAGATTCTATCAGAACATCTTTCTTTTCTTTCAGAGATACCAATCTTTACGTTGTTGTCATCTCTTACTTTTTGAATTTTGGTACCTTTAGTACCAATGATTTTGGCAGCTTCCTTTAAAGATAATAACAATCTTTGGGTGACAGAAGTGGCGGTGGTGGTGGTTTGTTTGTTTTCAGAATCAGAATCAGACATAGTAGGGAAATGTTATAGTGTGGATGAAAATGAAGATAGAGTGTATGGAGAGGGAAAAAGGTAAGGTTAGGTGAAATGAAATAAAATAAAAATCACAGTTGTTATATGGAGGTGGGAAACAAAAATATATTTATCCTATCAATTTATTTCTTATTTGCCTTTGTATAATTTGAATTTATTAACACAATCAGTTTCAAAAGGGACGAGAAGGGAAAGGGTAATTAATATTAACACAAGTGTATACACAATAACTAAGTATATAAATTGTAAAATATAAAAAAGTATATGAAAGGGTAAATAGCCTTTAGCTTAAAAGAAGATAAAACAATAAATGTAAACGTAATTGAAAAGAAAGAAAGAAAAAACTTGACTTGAATATAAAGCCTAAATGAAATGAAAAGATACCAAAACCAAAACCAAAACCAAAACCGAAACTGAAACTGAAAGGTAAAAAGGTAAAGAAAGGTAAAAATGTAAAATGTAAAAAGTGAAGTAAAAGAAGCGAGAAGAAGTAGTGGGAAAAAAAACTTGACAAGAGGAAGAAGTCTTGGAAATGGAAGGAGGATTATATATAATATCTAAATATATGATATAAAGGGAGAGAGAGAGAGGGAAAGAAAGAAAGTGGTAGGGAACAAGTGAACAAGTGCAATACAAATGAAATTGAGTTTTGTTAAAGTAACAACTAAGAGGACAAGACACCAAAGAGAATGAAAAAATTAAAATTAAAAAAAAACTAAATTATATAATTTCGAAAAAGAACAACGAGACGACAAAGCTAATAACAATGACAACGACGTAAAGAAAGGAATGAGAGGGACAGTAGAGTATATATGCAATAATGCATAGGAATTGTAGCTATTAGAATTAGATAGAAATATAACAAACCATTTACAAGAGAGAGAGATAGAGGGAGAGTAATGAGAGCAAACGAAATAAAAAAAAATCAATTCAATTCGATTCAAACCAAATGAATATTGTTGAATGTATTTTCTGAAATAGAGAATGTTGTATGTGTTTATTTGTAGTTGCAGTAGAGTTAAGTAAAGTAAAGTAAAGTAAAGTAAAGTAAAGTGCGTGTGTCTGTCTATGTTTCCCAGTTGACGAAATGTTCCTTGTCATTAATTCAAGAGTCTTACAGCAACTGGAGAAACAAATAAAAAAGGTGTTATAGTATAGATATATATAAATATAGATGATGATGGTTGTACAGTTTTACACCAGCACCGACAACATCGTTTCATATATCTATTTAAACATGAAGAGAAAAGACGGCAAATGGTATCAAACAGTTGAACAATTGATTAATTCATTCTTGGTATTCAAGTGAAACTTTTAATTGTAAATGCATATGTATATATATATATAGAGAGAGAGAGAGGGAAAAATATAGCATAGGATCTTGCTGAGATTAATTGATGGATAGAGAGATAGATATGATCTAGATTGAATACCAAAGATAGCTCAAGATGTAAGATTGGATTAGGAGGGACATGTCCGTCGTTACCTTGTATTGAATACTGTATATTTTTTATTTATTTAATTTTTTGTTTTCTTGATGAGCTGGCAGTAACTAGAAATCGAAGAGAGAGAGAGAGAGAGGGAAGAGAGTGCTCCCAGTCATACTTTGTTTGTTCACTCGCACGGAATAGAGTATACTTGCGCCAGCTCCAGCTCCAGCACTAACTCCAGTTCAAGTTCAAGTTCCCATCCAACAACACCTTATAATCAGTAGTTGGTTGCATGGTACGGTGGGTAGATTAGTCTGTGTATGTGTGTCTGTGTTTGTGCTTTTTCAAGGGTGGAGTCTTCCGAGGCAGGGTAAACCTGGTATAATGGCTTGGTGTGTGGTTGTATCATCTCCTTGATGAGTACTTGACGTACGCCATGAACTGGTCCCTGCTGTGTGTTGGACGACCCAATGAACTGGCCTACCCCCATTTCGAACCAGAAAAGAGAGTGGACTGAACTCTCTTGCTTTTTGCTTTCGCTTTCACTTTTGCCTTTGCCTTTGCCTTTGCCTTTGCCTTTGCCTTTGCCTTTGCTTTTGGTTCTTGTTTCTAGAATATCATGGATTACTGGCAGTTCCCGGCCGTGGGTATGGCAAACACACATCAGCAACAGAACAGACGCAGCAACAAAAATGAAAAACTGAAAATGCAAAAAGCGAAAAGTAAAAATAAACGAAGAACAAGAAGAAGAAAGAGAGACGGACGGATACAAAAAAAAAAGGATAGTGCGTTTCGTCGCTCTCTTGCCGTCGCCCTTGTCCGTCCGTTTGTTTCTTGTTCTTGTTCTTGTTCTTGTTCTTGTTCTTGTTATTACTAATTTAGTTTTGCCGTTTCAACGACAAGAACTGTGCCCATTACTACTTGCGATTTAGCATTACACATACTAAACTGAACCGAACTGAACCGAACTGAACTAAACTAAACTAAACTAAACTGAACTAACAATTATATCCACTTCCATGTCCTCACCCATACTAACTTCAGTCACACAACCCATCACACAGGAAAAAAGAAAGCCTGGTGGTAGCACCTCTTGCTCTCTTGTTCTCTCTCTCTCTGGCTATCACTAATCAAACTATAAGCTTTTTTCTTGTTACTGATTATTATTAATGAATTATTTATTATTAATTATTCGATTACTTGATTACCTACCGGCACTTTTATTTGTTCTTTTATCCACCACTAATTCATATTTCATTTCATATTCACATCTATATATATATATATATATATATGTGTGTGTTTGTATTCGAGTTTCGATTCGTTTCAGTTCCCTTATATTAAATCAATCAAATATATACTATATATTTGTATACTTACCACTACTATTGTCACACGTTTGCTATACCTTCTCCTTGATTAATTGGAAATTAATCAAAAAATAAAATAAAATAAAATTAAGGGCTTTGCTTTGCGTTCGTTTGTAAAGCGTATAATTTATACTCGTTCCCTCCTACTTAACTATTTCAATAAGAGATCTTTTGTTGGCTTTTGCTAGTATTCATTTCATTTCCTATCCTATCATACCATATCAATCACCTCTCGTTCCCCTACAATTATCTGTTTGATAACAACATTAACATTAACACATACACACTCCAATATCCATTATGACAATTTCAAATCTACCAAAAATTGAATGTATTGCAAGAGCAAGACTACCTACCACTACTGGTGGCCCAGACATATTCTTACATCTATATAGAAATGATAGAGATGACAAAGAACATCTGGCCATAGTGTTCGGCGAAGATATAAGGTCAAGATCTCTTTTCAAAAGGAAATCCCAAAATGAAACTCAACAAGATAGAATGATAAGAGGAGCTTACGTAGGTAAACTATACCCTGGAAGAAAATCTGCAGATGTCGATGAAAACTTGAATCTAAAATTAGAATTCGACCAAAAAACAGGCGAACTTTTGTTCGACGAAAGAACTACCTGGAATAGATCAAATAACACCCTAGTAAGAATACATTCGGAATGTTACACCGGTGAAAACGTCTGGTCTGCAAGATGTGATTGTGGTGAACAACTAGATCGTGCCGGAAGATTAATCGCTGTGGATAACGAAGAACACACTAATATCAAAGGTGGTGACGGACATGGTGTCATAGTCTATCTAAGACAAGAAGGCCGTGGTATAGGTCTAGGTGAAAAGTTGAAAGCTTACAATTTACAAGATTTAGGTGCAGATACTGTTCAAGCAAATATAATGTTAAATCACCCTCCTGATTTAAGAGATTTCTCAATAGGTAAAGCTATTTTGATTGATTTAGGAATAAGTAACATAAGATTACTAACAAATAACCCAGATAAAATTGATCAAATCAACTCCCCTCCAGTACTAAACTGTACCGAAAGAGTACCAATGATCCCAATTAACTGGTTGGGCGATGAGAAAGGTATAAAATCAAAAGAACTAGAAGGTTACCTAAAGACTAAAATCGAAAAAATGGGTCACCTCTTACAAAAACCTTTGATTTTGCACCATCATCCAAATGAAAAGGAAGAAGTTTCAGCAAACACAATAGCATAGACATTAAACATATAACTTTCCCTCTCTCTCTCACATACACATACACTTCCATTCATTCATATACAATAGTATTAATGTACACTCATTTTTATGTGTATATATTCATATATATATGTATAGATATAATTATAGATATGTATATAACAACACTCTGAAAAGAAAAGAAAAAAAAAATAATTAATGATATAATGTTGAATATAATACAGTGATTTTAATAGTTCTTATAATAAGTTCCAGGATGTAATAACTGGTATGTTTGTTTGTAGTCATATAAGTGAAGACACTACAATGCAATATATATTCTTCTGATTTGATATACAATGTTAACAGATTACCTTTGTGGTAGCGCCATGTTTATATATACCAAAAAGGGTTCCCAGACAATGGCTGGAAAAGAAGAAAACAAACAAACAAACTTGAGACCACTAACATTTTTCCGTCCGTTTCTCCACCCAATATGTATAGTATAGCCGGGTAAGTAGTATTCATGTTTTTTGTGGCATTACATAAAATTTATAAAAACAGACTTATAATGATCAATTGAATCTACATTATAAAAATAAAGGTCATTTGCACAAAAATGCAAAAAGAGCAGAGTATCCGCAAGAACTCCCGGTGAACATTTTTACAGATATATAAACGCCACCTTCCAATTGTCCATTTTATTTCACACTTTCTATCACCTTCCCGCCCTTCTTGCATACCTTCCTGCCTTTCCAAGACGCAATACAACAAAGTCCATAAATAATTTAGAGATCAGCAAAAAATTATTGTATTATATTAGGTTAGATTACACCTACAGTTTATTCATAGATTTTACTTCATTTTTTTTTTTGTTTGATACAATATTAGATTATGGAGTTCAATGAGCTTTACGAATCTCTAGCAGATCCGCAAGTGTCTGTAGACTCAAAACTAGATTTACTCACAAAATTTAAAGGACATGTGAAAAAGGAACTCGTAAATGTTAAATTGATTTCCAAATATTTCGACGCATTACTATTTGTTATACAACATTATCAAGATTCAAATATCATTGATCCACCAAATGCATTAAAACTATTGACTTTAGCACATTCAGCATTATGCTATTTGATTAAACGTGTGGCAATGCAATCTCCTATTTTCTTTAGTCAACCTACTGTAACCAAATTATTATTTTATTTAGTAAATCTAGTACCGCAAGAGAAAAGATTCTGGCTAAGTTCAATAAGAGCAATTGAAGCTATTTATCTAATTTCTCCAAGCATTTTACAAAATTCTTTGAAGAATTTATGTTTAAATATAAAGGATAACGAAAATACTGAAGAAGGAATCTCAATGGAAAATGATTTAAATAAAACCATTTTATTAATTGAAGAATTGGTCAAAATTAATACAAAAAACAATAGAAATCCAATGGAGATTTTAAATTTCTTCAATCCAATCTTTATCGACGTATTAAATAATGGTAATAAAAATATTGAAAATATTGATGATAATTTAAAATTAACAATTGAATTAATAAAATTCAATTTAAAAAAATATTATAACGATGAATTGTATCAAAATTTTATTAATCAAATCGAAAATGATATGATTAAACAACATTTGATAATTACTAATTCCGATGATCACATAAGTACAACCACTGATAATAATAATACTAATAATAATGACACCAATAATGACAATACCCAGATTAATAATAAAAATAATAATGAAAATAATATTAATACCCAACATATTTTTAACCAACAATTTGAAATTGATTTGATTTTAAAAAATGACTTGAAAATTATAAGTAACAATACAAGACAAAATAAATTAACTACTTTCAAAAATTATAATTCGTTCGAACAATTATCAAATGATATGATTAATTTGTTACAACCATTTCAAGAAACCAAAGAAACTGAACAAAATTGGAAATTGAGACAAGCAAACATTTTAAAATTTAGAGAGATCGTTAATGGGAATTTACCAAAAAAAACCCCAATAGAATTCATTAGCATTTGTAAAGAATTACAATTTATAGAGTGCATTTCAAAGGCTATTCTATCTTTGAGAACAACATTATCTTTGGGAGCATTCCATCTAATTAGAGAATTCTGTGAAAACCTAAATCAAAATCTAGATTCTCAAATTATTGATCAAATTTTTACTACCTTAAAAACATCATTATCTTCAACTAAAAAAATTACATCTCAAAACTCTCTTCATTCATTGGTAATTTTATTGCTCAATTCAAACTTTTCAAACAAGCTTTTCAATATTTGTTTTACCTTGGTAAATGAGAAAAACGTTTCTCCAAGGATATGTTCTTCAATTTTATTAAGGTTAATTTTGATTAGATTTAACAATTCTGTAGATAATGAAAGAAGGTTAGATAATTTGAATTTATTCATTGAAGAATGGTTGATTAAGGGAATTGCAGACGCACAAACATCAGTCAGAGAATCTATGAGATTAACATTCTGGTATTATTTTAAATGTTATCCAAGTAATGCAAGAAAATTGCTAACAGATTCTTTCTCTTCTCAACTAAAAAAAGCTATTGAATTATCAATCCCACCTCATCTAAAATTAGATTATCAGCCAATTTCAACATCA